AGCTCAAGATCATCGGAACATCAGTTTTATCGATTTTATAAGATAATTGANAAAAAAAAAAAAAAGAAAAAAGTTTGCGAAGAAACTTGCCATCTCTGTATCTTTGCTTCAATAGTATCCAAGGATGTCCACTGCGTCCCTTAAAATGTCCAACGTCCTTCCAAGCTCTGGGTGCCACGCTCGAATAAGGATTATAGGTGTAAAGGACAAGTCCTTCGACAGGATCGATGCAAAGAAAAATGGTGGAAAGCCTGTCGTATTCCCAGGCAGCCCATAGAAAGTTATAAGCGTTCACGCAACCGTGTTCCACGGTTCTTCTATCTATCAGAATGTGGAAACCGGTGAAGTTAGCCCAGCCAGAGTCCTTCGTCTTTTGCAAAAGCAGTCGAAGCAACGGTTGCGAGGACGCGACGATGACGAATTGGTTCAATTTCCAAATTAGATACAGGAACGAGAACTGCGTGTAGATCTCGAACGAGTATTTGCTCAGGGTGAACAGCTCGAACGCTGTCGTCGATTTCGTTTCTGAGATCAAGGCAACTGGTATATCGTCGAGTAACGATCGTTGAAAGAAATCCTCGTATTCTCCGGCTAACAGAAGAGCGTCGTTTGATTGGACCATCGTACAGGTTCGAACGATGCTCATCTAAGAAATTAGATACAAACAAATTTTAAAATTGTATTATTTGCTGGAAGAACATTGGAAAATTATTCTCGCAATTAGAAATTAAAAGTTTAAGCACCGTTTTGTCCATCAGATCGTCGTAAGTGATTCTGTTTTCTACAGTGGCATTAGCAATCAGCGTAGAAAGTGATAAGAAAGTGTTCCAAGGTGGCCTGGTTGGCATTGTTGTCGCGAGAAACGATTAATACGCACACTGAATCAACACGTTTCTATTTTATTTTTTGAAATTATCGCGAAATTATGGCGGAAGCGAATGACATCGCCGTTGCCCCTTGCGGGTTCAGGTCAAGTGACAATAATCAGACTCAATTCTAGTCGATGAAGCTTTACGCTTTAATCATTCAATAGCTTTATTTAATTTCCATTGGACGATAACGAGCAATCCACGAATAAACGCAACAGATTCTTATTATAGCAACGATCGTTTTTATTTGTAACAAGTCTCGCGCAGGAGTCTGTCTTTCGTCACGATCCAAACACGAACTGCAATTAATTCTCCATTTTGATTTCGCTTTCCCTTTCTGTTTGACGCCTTCCATTTTAGTAGCAATTATATCACCCGTGGCTGATGCTCGATAACCATCTTAATCGTTCTGCCTCCATTTTCACGATCGAATAATAATAACCACCCTCGATTTTCGGCCATTTTCTCTTAATATTCTCGTTCCACTTTCACGATCAGATAATAACCACCCTTTCGAATCTTCCTTTCATCATTATCATCATTTTACTTTGTCATCTTTACTCATCCGTTATTATATTTCGCTCCATCGATCAGATAATGGCCGCAATTTTCAATTTTGACCATTTTCGCTTTCCATTAATATTTCGTTATATTTTCAACACAGTTGATTTAAATCATTTCCTTTCTTACTTTTCGCGTTTAGTTAGTTAATAAATAGCCACGATCTAAGCCAACCATCCTTTCGACGATTGGAGGAGCAAACGTTTCCGTTCTCCGCGCATCATCTTCGATTCCAAGACGAGCGTGTCAACGACCCCTGATCCTCGAAATCCTCGTCCAACCTCGAACGTCCAACGCAACGACGAAGAACACCAAGTGTGTTCGAAGTGGGAGGCGGGCCCTCGCTATCGCCTCGTCCAAGAGGATGAACAGAGCTGTGAACAGTTTAGCACCGGTCGTCGGCCCGAGTGCTCGCCTCTTCGTTTCGTCTCTACCGAGATAAAATTATTCTTTCGTTATCGTTATCGTTAACACACCCGTGCAATTATTACTTCATCGTCGTATTTTTCACCTATGTTCCTCGATATCTCCCGATATATCGTAACTCGTTCGTGCGATACACGTACATTTATCGGAATCTCGATCGAATTCGCGGCGAAACGAGTGGAAAATATTGATAAATCGTTACGTAAATAACACTAATAATATTCCTTAAAGAAGTAAACCGGTTTGCGATCGCCAGGAAAGACGAGTGGACGCGATCTCCAAGATGATACGGATTCGAGGAATAACGTCATGCCTCTGTCTGACAGTGCTCGTGTTCGGTCACGCGGCCGCTGCTTCCGCGCGGCCGCATATCGTGTTTATCCTTGCCGACGATTTGGTGAGCTTCTTTTTCTTCTTTTTCTTGCTGTTGCGTCGCTCGCGATAAGGAATTAAGTAAAAATTATTATATCGTTGGTATTCTCGGAAAAGGAAAAGGAAAAAGTTGGATAAGTCACGTTTTCCGATTTTTTTTACTCGAGTTTAACAAGTCGAGTTTAACAATGTGCCAATGTGTATATAAGCAGCATAAGTGGCATAAATTTCTTATTTTACGACACATTTTTATTATTGTCGCGCATATTGGTGGCCATGAACATTTTACCAGGAAATTCGAACGATAAAGAAAACTTTTCATTCGACGTTCATAAATCATCGTCGTTGATATGCACCTGTCATTTTTTTTAAATCTCGTTTACGAAGCTTTCTTATCTTTCTTGTTTACGAAGCTTTCAGTACCTTATCTTCGATGCTTCGTTGAACGAAGCATTTTTACTAATTTGTTAAAACGTGTAAACAAACGATAGATACAATTTATTTTTTATTTTTTTTTTTGCGATAAGCACAGTAGTTCTCGATTAACTTAATGTAATGGAATCCGAGTGTGTTGGAATAGGGATGGAACGACGTCGGGTTTCACGGATCGGGCCAAATTCCGACGCCGAACATCGATGCTCTGGCGTACTCGGGCCTGTTGCTGGACCGATACTACGTTACCCCGATCTGTACCCCGTCCAGGAGCGCTTTGATGACCGGCAAACATCCTATTCATACCGGGATGCAGCACGCGGTACACCGTCATTAAGTATTTAAGCAATCGACTTGTAAATAAAATGACGTCGGTTTAAGGCGGCCTCAACAAGCGCAAATATTAATTCGGCCGTGGTTCGTTGCTCTCGGATAAATTTCGTTGTTTGTCTTTTGTCTCTAGGGAGGGAGGGGGGGAATCGTAACACCGCGTTTGCGCCAATTTTTCCTTTGCGGATCGATTAGATTAGAAATCGATTAATCAGATCGATTAGAAATTGATGATTATCTTTTTTGTGCTTTATAATATGGATTTTTCCAAACCAAATCCACTCTTGCGAATTTTTTTTCTTTTTGTTTTCTTCAAGTTATCTTCAATAAAAATAAAATCCAATGTTTATTGATATTAAAAAATTTTATTTTATGGATATCAAGATACTTTTTTTTAATAGAATTTAATTTTTAAAGAAACTTCTTCGATCGAGTTCGTTCGTCGTTGGAAAATATAGCAATCAAAAATAGTAAAGCATGAATTTGATTCGAAAAAAAAGGGAACACGAATGAAAAACCTGTATGTTTCAATTATATTACACCTATTGTTGCTTGTTCTGTGACCTTTGCTCGCTTTCTACTTTATATCGTTGCAAAAGTTCAATTGTATTACAAAAATTAAATTTCTACACGAATATATAATTTATGAAATGAGAATAATTAAACGCCTCGCGGAATTAGGTTCTGAAGTGCGCCGAGCCGAGAGGATTGCCTCTCCACGAGAAACTGTTGCCGGAATACCTTCGAGATCTCGGTTACAGCACGCACATAGTAGGTAAATGGCACTTGGGATTCTACACGAAGGAATACACGCCCATGTACAGGGGATTCGACTCGCACATAGGTTTCTGGAGCGGCCACCAAGATTATTTCGACCACAGTGCCGTGGAAGAAGTAAGAAATTAAATCGTGATCGCGACACAATGTTGATCCGTACGCGACAAAAATTCCTTTCGACTTAAACGCAGCCGTATTGGGGATTGGACATGAGGAGAGGATTGGAGCCAGCTTGGGACCTCCACGGCCAATATTCCACGGATATCTTCACGAAGGAGGCTGTGAAACTGATCGACAATCACAACACCAGTCGGCCGATGTTCCTCTACTTGGCCCACGCCGCAGTCCACTCCGGAAATTCTTACAACCCTCTGCCTGCACCCGACCAAGACGTCGCCAAGTTCACCAATATCTTCAACTACAACCGTAGACGCTTTGCCGGTAACTACGCTTATTTCTCGAAAATTTCTCCGATTTAAATTATTTTGTAAGAGAAAAAGAATTTTTCGAACTCGAATTTTCCATCTTGCTTCAATCGCACTGTGCAATGAGATAAGCTTCCTCTTTCCTCTTGTGCGTAACAAGCTCAAGAAACTAATATTTCTTCCGTCCCATAACTTAAGAAAAATGGTATAATATCGTTTCTTTGTTTTCAGGCATGCTGAGCAAGCTAGACGAGTCTGTCGGCCTCGTGGTGGAAGCTTTGCGGAAGAAAAAGATGCTGGAGAACAGCGTGATCGTGTTCTCCACGGATAATGGGGGCGCACCGGCCGGTTTTAACCTAAACGCCGCCTCGAATTGGCCCCTGAGGGGCACAAAAAACACTCTCTGGGAAGGTATCTCTAAAAAACAAAAAAAAGTACCTAATTGAATGTAACTCAGTGTCGTAAAGAAGAATGATGAATAATGGAGGAGAAAAGAAAAGGGAAGAGAAGAGGAGAAAAAAAATGATTATCCAATTTGTCCGTGGATTAGGTGGCGTCAGAGGAGCCGGTCTTCTGTGGTCGCCGAAACTAATAAAGCCTGGAAGAGTCGGCAGGCAATTGATTCACATCAGCGACTGGTTGCCGACCCTCTTAACAGCTGCCGGTGGAGATCCATCGAATTTGAGCATAGACGGCGTGGATATGTGGAACGCGTTGAGCGAGGACACGGAATCACCTAGGAAAATGGTCCTCCACAATATCGACGACATTTTCGGACTGTCCGGGATCACGTACGGCGATTGGAAATTCGTTCAGGGTAAAAAGTAATCGTGTATCCTGTGATACGACGATGGATCGAAAGATTCGAATTTGAATCGAAACTCGTTTGATTCTTTTTTCCCCCCTAAGGGACTACCTACAACGGTCAATGGGACGGTTGGTACGGCCCATCCGGGAGAGAGTGGGTGTACGACGTCGGAGGCGTGATCGGGAGCGTAGCTGGTCGAGCGGTGGCCAGCGTGGGCTTGTCACTGTCCGCGGATAATATTCGCAAGCTTCGTGAGGACGCCATGATCAAGTGTCCCCCGAGGAATGATAATCTGCCGTTGTGCAAACCGTTGGAGGCCCCTTGCTTGTTCAACGTCCGCCAGGATCCCTGCGAGGACAACAATCTTATAGAGAAGTAGGTATACAGAGATGGCACGCTCGATGAGAAAGATTGGAAGAAGGAAGAGAAATATTATTTTTATTTCAAGGTATCCATCCGTTGTGTCCGATCTGAAGGAGAGGCTACGCGTGTTAAACGCGACTGCTATATTACCTGGTAACCTCCCTTGGGACAAGAGAGCAAATCCAGATTACTGGGACCACACGTGGACCAATTTCGGTGATTACTTGAACGTGTTCGCGAATAACGTCAGTTGAAGGTGGAACTTTTGCATAAACAGATAAACTGAGGAGAAAATTCTTTTTTTATCGAACGTGTCCATTAATCGTGTTATCGCCACGATTCCACGAATCGTGATTTCTTCTTTCCTTCCGTTCTATTCTTAATTCGTTCTCGTTTTTCCCTTCCCGATTCGTAGATTTGATCGCTGCGAGAAAAATAAAGTGAACGGAATTATAAATAGTATCTCGTTTATTTCTTATTCTATACACTTCGATTTTGTTGGGCCACGCGCGTTCTATCCAAGTGCGTACAAAGTGGTGAACGAAATGGAAAAGAGAGATCCGAAATAAAAGAAATAAAAATGGGACGTCCTCGTGTTGGCTAGAACGTTAATATAGGTCCTTCTCGATGGTCGAGAATATCTGAAAGAAGGAGTGAAAATAATCATAAAGAATTTATCCGTGTTTACGAGCGTTTCTCGTTTATCTCACCTTTGGCGATGCTCCACCAGGGCAGAGTGATGTACGTGAGAAACGCGTTGAGGGGAACGGATTGGGCTCGTCTGGTCTCTTTCCAGAAGTGGAACGTCTGCGTGAATCCTCGCATAGTCCACAGAGGGTTGTAAGCGCCGTCGTCCAACTCTGCCGGCACAGAGAGAACCAATCGATTATCGCTAACGAATCTGTCACATCGATCGTTATGATCCTGCAATGATTCGTGTCGATCAGTCGGATGGAAGCAATTGCAGAGGGCAACGGGTCACTTTGGAAGCGATAGAATCGGACCAAGGTTTGCTCGAATCAAAGATCTGTT